AGGTTTTGAAGCTGGAGCCGGAGTGGCAGCTCCCACTGCTAGGCCATGTCTGCCCGGCCTGTCACAATTCACGCAGTTTCCTGGGCATGCAAACATTTTTCTTCAAAGCTGTCAGCCTAACTTGGTATCTGCCAGAAGAAAGAATGAAAAAATACTATAAAGTAACCCACAAAATTGAAAATAATTGGCAGAGGCACCAATATGTACTTTCTAAACTTGCTACGAGATGAGATTCTGTTTAATGAAGTCACATAAACTTTGTACCAGGCATAAAGCCACAGTGTAGTGAAGATGCAAAACTGAAGACAAGATTGACTATCGCCTAGTACAGGCGCACTTTCTAGGGCTCTTCTATCCAGTTTTGGTAAGCTTTACGTTGAGTTGCTTTTTGCACAGTATGAAAGAAAGCCATTTATATTAAATTGTCTAAAACCACTCAGACTTCATTTAAAGCGAGGTTTCCTATAAGAACACTGCCCCATTCACTAATCCTTTGCATTGCTTGCTTCCAACCAGAAATGGATTATGGTTTAGATGTGAGGTGGCCCCCAAATCTCATGTGTGAGACAATGCAAGAAAGTTCAGAGGTGAAATGATTAGGATATGAGAGCTGTAAAGTAATCATCACATTAATCTACTGATGGGGATTAACTGGGAGGCAACTAACTATAGGCAGGTGGGGTGTGGCTGGAGGGGATGGGTCCCTGGGGGAATGCCTTTGGGGTATATATTTTGTCCTTGTTGAGCAGAGCTCTCTCTGCCTCCTGCTACCAGGTCCCCAGACATTTCCCTCCACCACACACTTCTGCCTTATGTCAGGTCCAGAGGTATGGAGGAGACTATCTATGGACTGAGAGCTCTGAAAATGAGCCCCAAATAAATTCTTCCTCTTCTAAGTGTTCTTGTCAGGTCTTTTGGTTTCAGAAGCAAAAAGATGACTGAAACACCCTTTGTGTTGCTTGGCCCCTGCTTGACAGATCACTGCAGATCCATCTGACACAGACTTCTGGAACGTAGCTGGTAAAACACAGCTGTATTTCAAGTGTCACAGAATTTATAGGCACCCATAAAGACATGGCTGCTCCCTGTTCCTCCCTCCATCTCATCACCCCAGTCTTCCCTCCCCTTTAACACCAGCAGAACATCTGCAAATGGAAAGCTTTGACTGACATATCCTAAAACATTAGCAAGTGACATTGTCATTTGCAATCACATTATGTGAGGTTTATCAATTAAAGGATTCGCAGCTTTGGACAAGTCTAAATACAGCCTGGGAATGCATTATTTAGCAGGTTTATTAAGGCATCCCTGATACTGCTTCCAGGTCCTCATTTAGCAGCAGTTGGCCTGTTGATTACTCTTCACTCCTCCAAGAAAACACAACTGTCCCGAGATGGATAAAATTAGTCTTCTCTTAAAAAAAAAAAAAATCAAAACAGCTGCCATGTCCTATATTCACTAAAATTGTCACAAAATGGTGACAATGTGTTTTGACACATTGAGGTGAATATTTATCTTACGCATGTGTGTTTAGACAGATGGAAACCAGGGTAGGACTTCATAGTGTGAGCAGCCTTAGTTTTCAATAATGATCCTTATGCTTTCGTTATTCTGTGGTCTATATATCATGCTCCCAAACAAAACAAACAAAAGCAGCTACAAGGCCTCCTCCTTCCAGCCCCAGACAGCTGGCAGTGGGAGCAGGAGGTCAGAGCGCTTCATCCCTGCAGATCTTCCCACCCAGGGCCTGTGCCTTGCTCCCAGAGACAGATTACTCATCTCCCAACCTCTGAGTGGGAAGGGTGACCCGGCTGCCTGTTGGACAGATGAAGCTGGTCACTCTCAACCCCGCTTCTTCCATGGTGGTTGACACCTATCACAGCCCCTCAAAGCAGTCAGTCACAGTGGTCAGTACTACCTGGGACTGGCAGGCAGGTCTATTGGTGGAGATCCACGTCACCCACTCCCCTGTCTGTTCTTCATTAGGGGTGCATATTTGCCTGTATGTGGGGTAGTTTGTGGGTATCTATGGCAAACACATACCTCGTGCCTGTGTCACTGGTTATGAAGTCACTGTTTTGGTTTGCCTTTCACTTACTTCTGTCTGTTTGGAGTCTCAGACAAGGAGCACTGGTGACAAGTAACCTCAGGTGAATGACTTGACTGAACCCCTAATTCAGCAGCAGCCAAGAATGTTTCAAAAATTGAACTGATGCTTTAAAAATACTAGTAGGATGGACTGAAGGCAGAAATCTAAGACCTGACGCTGTGAGACACCCAGATTTCTGAGGAACGAGGGGAGACACCTCTGTAGGCCAAGATCCAAAAGAGACCACAACATCATGCCATGGGAGACGAAAGAGAAACCCGGGATGCCATCAAGCTAAGAAGCTTCTGCACAGCAGAGCAGACAGTCCAAGGGAGGAGACAGGCGGCAGAGGGGGACTTGCAAAGCACGCATGTCCCGAGGGTTGACACCCAGAATATGCAGGGAGCTCCAACAACTTGACGGCAAACAGGAGTGATGGGAATGGACGGAGGAGGTGAATGGGAATTTCTCAAAAGACAAGGGCCAAGGAGGACATGAACAATGCTTGGGACCTAAAAGCCCCTGAACTGGCTTTGCGTTCCACCAAGTCAAAAGTCACTACAGTGCTCAGGGCTGGGCACGGCCTCCGCTGACTGTGTGAGACCCCGCCCGCTGCGCTTGGCCTCCAAACATCCCCTGCGCAAGGTGCCCAGGGCACCCTCTGAAGGACTGCGGCCCACGGTGGGGATGGCGGGCAGCACTGAGAGGGGAGAGGACAGCTGAGGTGAGAGGTCTGGCACCAGTGGGAGTGGCTGCAAGCCTGCTCCTCCAGAGGGACCTGCCTGGCTCGGAACAGGAGCGGTTCCACACTGGTCTCCCTCTCAGGGTGCGTCTCAGGCAGCTGGGTGACCTCGTACTGCAGCGCCTACTAGCTATGTTGAGTAGACAGCCAGGTTACTTCCCTGAAGAGCTGCCCATGACCCTGTGTGGCACTTGCCCCGTGTCATCCTTCAGGTTAAACAACACCCCCTGGAAAGAAAAGTCGATGTCTGAAACACTGGACAGTCCCTGTGAAGGGACACTCTGGTGCCTCTGTCAGTAACACCATCAAGAAGGATCCTCTAGCAATTCCTGGGACTAAAGGACTTAGAACTTTTGGGAAGCAAAAAATACGCACATTTCATTTTTTGGAATCATCTCACCCGACCCCGATGAACTCCATTTATGTCTCTCTCAGCTAATGCCACATCTACACCTTTGTAAGAATTAGATTCCTGACATTTTTTGTGATCCAGTTATTCAAATCAATAAGATACTGTTGTGTCTTTCACATTATTTAATTCCCTTGGTATCCTTACTAGGCCAAGTATAGAAAAAGACAAGACTTGAGTATTTTAGTATAAATTCATTAATCAGAAGAAAATCTAAATGACAAAAGAACCTTGATGAAGCTGGGATTTGATAGAACTGGTGAAAGCATAGAAAGATGATTGACAGATCAGTTCAACTCTGACTTTATAAGGTATGTAACTGGAATAAGTAAAGACCCTTTAGTAAAAAGGGGGTGGGGGAAGGAAATGCGAGCAAACTAAGGTGATATACACAACCTGGGCAGCACCTATGGCTTCCGAGGGGTTTTCATGTGGAAAGACCCCGAGGACACGGTGACTCAGTTTTGATGATGCTATCCTGGTCCAGACGGTTAAACCGTAGACAAAACACTGTAATTACGACCCTAAAATATAACCTAGCAACAAAATAAATGCCATCGAAAATATTTCTTTTTTCTTTAAACAGTTAAAGGGATGGTAATGGAAATAAATGACAAATTGGACTTAGATTTCGTTTCGACAAATTCACTGGAGGCACAGCTGTGACAAGATGAAAGGATGAAGTGGGACAGAGGACCCAGGCTGGGGCCCGGAGTGAGTGATGTGCTGGTTAGCCAACGCCTTGCAAAGAAAATCAAACCTGCTGTGTGGGCTCATGGGCTTCCCGGGTGTGCACTCCCACTAGGACAGATACCAAGCTCACTCCCAAGTCTGGATTTTAATTTTGGCTTATACATGATCCAAGAGAAGCACTCAGCACATTTTCTGGCATTTCATTAAAACCTCAATAGCCAGGCATGGTGACACACAGCTGTAATCCCAGCAACTAGGGAGGCTGAGGCAGGAGGTTTGTAAGTTCAAGGCCAGCTTCAGCAACTTATCAAGGCCTTAAGCATATCAGTGGAGACCCTGTCTCAAAATGATGAAAAGTGCTGGGGAGGTGGCTCAGGAACTGAGCCACCCAGGGTGCTTAAAAAGAAAAGAAAAAGAAAAAAGACACAACTTCAACAAATACGGGCTATATTTTAGTTTTGACTCTCAAGATGCATTTTCTTAGGAAAGTCAAAATGCAAGAGTTTGAAGATGGTTTTATAAAGACTAGAAAAGTAAAATGATTTCATCAGAAAAGTTAGAATTTCAGAGATTCAGGAAAAGTCACTAGCTTTACACCCTAAGTCAGCAATGAACATTTGAAATAGTGCAGTTATTTATGATTACCTTATTTCACAGTTTAAGAGTGCTGCAAGAGTTCTCAAAGTACAATTTAATTATCAAAGGGTGTTTTTCATTTTTAATGAGAAAAAGGTAAACTCAGAATCCTCAGATCCAGAAGGACATAAACATATGTAAGATAATAGAACATCTTGACCAGAGGGAGCCACACAAAGAAGTGCATAAAGTCTGGGAGATAAATGAAGGAAACTTTAGAACTTGGGAGACATAATAACATGGCACACACTGGCTGGTGGATTTATAAGGTCCTAGCCACGGATTCCTACAGAACACGTCATGTTGCGTGTGGAAAAGACGAGCTGGCCTCTTAACTTCCACCCCACCTTAAGTGGGCATGTATTGAATCAGCTCCAGAGTCACTCTCTCTGCCCACGGCACTTTACAGAAAAGCGCTTGCTGCACAGTACCTCTGCAGAAAGGAGCCGGGAAGTCCCAGGAGGCACCATTCCCGGGGCTGACGATGCAGGTCAGGATCGCGTGACCTTCCAAGATGTAGCCAGAGAGGCAGCTGTATCGGATCTTATCTCCTATGTTGAACCTCGTCCCGTGGAGAACACCTTTCAGTATTTCCCCAGGATGTCCACATGTGTGGCTTGGTAGAACTATGGGAAAGAGAAAGAAAAAACAAAAGTGAAAAACAATTCTTCTGAGATCCATTCATATCACCGTATAGGCACCGCTTTGAACTATTAAAATGATCAGAACTTTAGCACAGGAAAAAAATCTAATGATGTCAGTGTTTAGAATATCTGTATAATAGTATCTTTATAACCATTTTAAAAAGTATAGATAAACATATATCATTAAAAGACAAGAAACCCCATTGTGCTGGGATCTGGTGATCCAGATGAGGTCGGGGTTCCATGTCCATGCAGCCAGCCACCAGATAACACTGGGGACACTGAGGTCTGGGGGAAATGACAAGCACATCAGGAAGCGCCCGCATGCCTCATCGACCTCAGGCTAGATGCACACTCTAGCCAATGTCCTGTCTGAGGGACACAGAGCTGCATGAGGACTAAACTGAAGGTCCCCTCCATCAGATTAAACACCTGACTGTCTTGGAACTCAGGCCTGGGCTCTGCACAACTACAGCATCTGACCTGGGGGAGCTTTAACTACTCCCTGGGACAACATGAGGACCACATTCACTTGCGATTCCAAAGCAGGGTCTGGATTCTGTTCTTTTCTGACCTGACTTTTCTTCTGGCTGAGGTTCTAGTCAATCAACTGCTTTGAGACTTAATAGACAAGATTTTATTCCATGGTCAAAGAACAGGCTTTTGCACAAAGTTGATGCAACAGCAGGCAGAATGGATGACATGTGAGATTGTGGACTGTCTCCTGCTGCTAGTTTTCAATGAGCATGTCCTCAGTAATGAGTGTATTCAAATGAGCTAAGTGCTTATGTTTTTTTTTTTATTTCTTTTGAAATGACTTAAGTCCAAACTTAGCTATAAATAAAAATTTAGAGAATAATATTAGTAATTAGTAGTTTGGTATTTAATATTGACATGATTATGGATCTCTATTTACATAATCAAGTAGTGTTCATATCTAGTTTTTAAAATTTTCTGAAAACAATGTACCAAAATATATTCAGAAAACAAAATAGTTTAGTACAACCTACAATCAACTGTGTTGAACACTTAAAAAAGCATGTTCTAGACAGGTTCAGTGGCATGTGCCTAAAACCCCAGTGCTCTTGGCTGAGTTAAGAGGATCACAAGTTCAAGGCCAGCCTCAGTAATGTAGCAAGGCTTGAAGCAACTTAGCAAGATTCCGTCTTAAAGTAAAAAAAGGGAGGCTGGAGATGTGACTCAATGGTTAATCACCCCAGGGTTCAATTCCTAGTATCAAAAAAATAATAATAAGTATATTCTATGTTTAATTCCACACCCACTTCTCCACTAGCCATTTTGAAATACAGGAGCACTGTGGTCAACCATATGACTCTGCAGCGCTACACGACATTAGAAGTCATCCCTACTACAACTGCACCTTTGTACAGGCTCCAGCAATGACTGTTCTGCTTCCAATTCTGTAAGATCCACTTAAAAAAAATCAAACAATTTTAAATCAAAACAAATGAATACCCAATTTAAAAATGAGCAAATGATCTGAATAGACATCTGAGGAAAATATGAAAATGGAAACAAATACATGAAAACACGCTCCACGTCACCATCATCAGGGAAACAGATCAGACTACACGGAGGTGCCACCTCAGACTCTGGGAGTGAAGCTCATGGAGAAGACAGTGCTGGCGAGTTTGCAGGTGGCAGGGAGCCCTTGGACATGTGGTGGGAATATTAGTTAGTGGGGCCATTATGAGAGCAGCAGGCAGGCTCCACAAGACCTAAAAACTGAACTTCCATAGGATCCAACCACCCCACTGCTGGCCCCTGTCCAAAGCAGAAGACATCACTGTGTTGGGAGGAGACCTGCCCCTGCACGTGCACTATGGGCCTCTCACAGCAGCCAGGTACAAATGCACCAGAGTGTCCACTGCGGGGCGGGGGGGGGGGAGCGGGGAAGCACCTGTTCTGGCCACACAAGGGAGCACCACTCAGTTGGGAAGTAAGGTGAGTTGTCCTGTCATGTGCAGCACCCAGGGACCGGAGGTCACATGCCAAGACATCACGCCAGGCTCAGAAGACAAGCCACCTATTCTCATCCCAGGAGGAGGCTTCCATCAGCTGTGTCCAGGTAAACTGCCTCCAAGGAGAAAATCTACCCAGTGCTTCACACCTGCTAACACAACTGTCAGTCGCACAAATGCAAAGTAATGGAAAGTAAGAACCACCCACTTGAAAACTGTTTTACTGTGGAGAACAGCAAGAAACGCTTCTAAGTGAACTCTGCCATGGATTCTATGATTGTCTGCTGTACGGGAAGCCCCACGTTACACGATACCACAGCAACAGACAGTGGGCACCTGGGGGCGGGCAGGGCCACGTGGGTGGCCCTTGGACTTGCATATGGGACAGCATGGTGCCAATCCTGGACTGTCAGTAGTGTTCCCAGGAGGGCGGAAACGCACGGAAATGCATCACTGGGGGAAACATCAGCCGACAAAGGGAACCTCCTGTCACGGCTCTGAAGGGGCGTCTGAACACCAGTGTCCTGAAATGTCAACAGAGCTCACCCTACACCTGGGAAGAACAAGCTCTTCCGCTCAATGTCAATCTAGGAAAGATGACTTTAGTAGGGGAAATTAGTGCGAATGCTGAACGTAGGAACTGTCAGAAACAACAACAAAAAACCCTGGAGCATGTGCTGTTCTCACGATTAACATCCTATTTCCAATGGCCCAAAAGCTGTAGCTGACCCCAACCCAACTGTCGGCTTCCCTTCCAAGGGTGCAGCCTACTCAGGAGGGCAGCCAGGGTGGCCATTTCTTGGGCGTTTAGACCACTTTGATGGCTTCCATTTTTGTCCTTGTCCTGAGATGTGTTGGCCTTAACATCCTGACACTTGGTCATAGTAGCATGCGGACAACACGCATCAACTCTCGGCCTGTGCACGGCGGGACCCGTTCTCAATGGGCAAGACTGCAGGAAAGTGGAATGGCGTCTAGGTCTCCTTCTCATCTGCTCTCTGCTCCCTAGTGCTTCCTGGCTAGCCAGCCGTAGTCAGGGAGAGATGCAAAGGCCAAGGAGACCTCCTGGGTCTCCACACCCCTGCTCTGACCCTCTTATGGGATGGAGCTGCGCCTGGCTGAGCGCCTCCTGCAGGTCCCGCCTGCCTCCAGCCTGGGGCGCTCCCTTTTCATCTCTGACAGGGTCAAGAATGGTGGCCCACCCTCAGCAGGCGCTGGCTAGATGTGTGTTGGTTCAACTAAATAATAACTATCTTTAATGACATATAGAGCATGTGTTTTCATAGATCTAAACCTTAGTTGTGTGCATAGCTCATAATCCTGATGGAAGCTGGAAAAAAAAAAAATCAAATTTTCCCCAAGCAGGTGGCCAAAATATCATGTTGGAAAACAGAATCAGTTAATAATTTGTAACTTTAAATCATTCTGTTCCCACATTTGACACACACAAAAAAAAATGTATACAGATATCAGAGCCTTAAACCGAATTTAAATAAAATTTAATTTTATTTTTCAGTACTAGAGCTTGAACCCCATGGCAATCTACCACCGAATTACACCCACAGCCCTTTTAATTTCTATTTTGAGACAGGGTCACTCTAAGCTGCCCATTCTGGCCTCTACTTAGCAATCCATGGCTTCAGCCTCCCTATATACAGGTGTGTGCCAATCCTGGCAGCTGAATGCAGATTATTTAAAGAAAAATAGCTTAGAGTAATTAAAAACTACCTTTTAATATTTAAAGTCATTGGTTGGTAGCACAAAGTTATACGTTTATGATTTAGGGACTGAGGATCTTTATTTTTATAAACAATTACATCTTGAAAATTTTTTCATTTAAGTTTTAGCATAATGTCAATAAGCAAACAGGCATAACTGGAGTTACAAAATAAGAAAAGCAAAAATGCTCAGATTCTAGAACAATCAATTTCACAAAAATTCACAGGTTTATGAAACTAAAAAACTAGATGGTATGATAATTCTATTCAAATACTTAAGACTGAGATACATAAAAACTACTAAAACAGAAATTTGGTGGATCAGAGAAACTTATTTAAAATCTAGGAAATTTATCCCGATTTTTGTTTCTGCCAATTTCATGTTAACTTTTTTTTTTTTAGCCCATTCCTCTGAAGACAGTGAATGTCCCTTGTGCCTCCCAGGGGCACACAGAGTATCTGGTAAGTGTGTCAAATCGTCTTGACCCTACCTTAATTCCCCCTCACCCCTCCTTGAGCACTGTGAGCGCTTTCCCATGGAAGCTTCAAGAAAGGGATGCTTCTTTAGGTGATGGGAGTTCCGTGCTCTGAGCTCGCGTTTGGTAATGTGAAGGGTTTTCTTGTGAGGAGCCTGGGAAAGGCTCTACCTCCCGTGGCAGGTTTCCACCAGACCCTGCGGAGCCAAGTTTACACCAGGGCCGCAGCACGGGGGACTGTCATCCTAATTATGCGCATGAAAACTCCCTCCACAGCGATTTTGATTTGGCAAGTACATATGGTCACAATTCAGTGACTTAATTGGGCTATCACATCAAACCTTTAACCCAACTGTTTAAATGATTAAATGGATGTCACATTAAATCCCTTTCCAAAAGAAAATTGAAAACACGATAGTACAATAAAATACAGCATTAATATTCATTACTAAATGGGACAGAAGGCTAGCAGAAAGAAGTCTGAAATCCACCAAAGGAGCAGTGGCATTTTTAGCAGCATGTGTACAATCAATGAAATTTCATTAGGTACACTCATATGGAAACGGTCCCCAGGGCTCCTGGGGAAGGCTTGTTTACACAGTGCCCGTCTCTCTTGGCTAAGGAAATAAACCTCAAACACCCACGGGGCCTAAGTCACTGCCAAAGTGAACAGACCGTCTGAGATGTGCTTGCCTATAGACGGCTACCCTGGGAAAGTTCTTCACCCCTCCTCCTCCTGCTGCCTTGGGAAGATTAGAAAAATCTTGTTAGATCGTTTTCAAGGTTTAAAAATCAGGGTTTCAAAT